AAATTATGAAAGCAATATTAAGCCTTAAAAAGAATTTATAAAACAGGTATAGCACAATTTTGCAGACGTTCCAGGCTTACCAATAGCCTTATTATTGGAGTTAGATTGAAGAATACACAGCTTGGAAATAATTTCTTTAGAAACTTGACTTTTCATAAACCTATTCCGATCAAGCAGATTCCCAAAAATTTGATATCTGCGTGGAAGAACGAGTTTCAAAAACCTGAATCAGGTGATGTTAAAATTACCGTTCAAGGGCAGACTATTTTTGCGAGCAGCTCAATTCTTGCTAGACGTTCGGAATATTTTCAAAGTATGTTTAATGGATCATGGTCAGAGTGTAATCAATCTTTCATCAATGAAGATGCTGGTATTGAAACTGATAATGAAACTGATAATGAAACTGATGCAGAAACAAATTCACAAAAAAAAGCCATAGCTTGTCGACAATATCGATATTCAATTGATATTCCAGATTTTGATTATCAAACCACCCTTCAAATGCTTATATATCTCTATACTGATCAAGTGGATATTAATAATTGTCCAAATGTTTGGAATCTTTATACCATCGCCAACAAATATCTTATTTCAGGCTTGGAAATGGAGGCAAAATTAAAAATTCTTGAGGGAATGAATATTGATAATGCCGTAGAAGGGTTGTTTAGTAATGCGTGGAAATGGCCTGATCTGAAGAAAAGGTTCTTGAGATACGTTGTCGATAATTTTTTACAAATTAGGAATAGTCAAGTATACAAAGATATTGTAGCAGACCGTTCGAAATATCCAATGTTTCTTGAGTTAAATAGCGAAATTTTATTGACATTTGTTCCTGAATCGGTAGAATCATGAAAGAAGTGTTATAATTCTTAGATTTTTTTTTTTTTTTTTTCAAGAAATTTGTGCATTAATGAGCCAATACTCTGAAATTTCGACTGTGATGATACATTGGTACATTTAGTATCTCGACAACTATCGGAAATGATTGTTGTCGATATACGAACATTAGCTAACAAATATGTACGTTTTAATCAAAAAAAACTTGGTTTTATTCCAATTTTGTTCAATGCCAGGTGGCATTAGACAAGTTAATTTAGTAAATTCCAGTCAGCATTGAAAAAAAGCAATACATAATTTTCCAATGCCGAAGTGACATAAAATTGAACGATTTTGCTATTATTTTATAGAGCGAAAATAAATAGACAAGTAATACTCGTTAGATATTAAGATGTTCAAGCACATCTTTTTTTTTTATTGACGTTCGGGTAGAACTTTGAATGGTATAATATTTAAAACACTATGGCCAAAATATGAATAAATAGTTCACATATTTCCATACAGACATTATAAGTTAAGGTATTTAATTCACAATCCATAAGAAGGATAAGATTTTAAGACTTATAAATTACGAAAACATAATTTACTATGTTTTTATATAAGGATGAAATATTTTTTCCTCTACACTTATATAGTTACAAAAACTAAATATAAATATCTTTTTATCTACTAAACCCAATTTTTGATAATTTTTTTATATTATATATAAAAAAGGTCTCTTTACATTTTTAATTAGAAAGATAAAAGTATATTAATATATATAATAAAAATATAGCTATGGAGAAACACAAGATTTCATAATTATATAATAAACTTGGTAGTAATTTGCGCCTACGTATGAAGCAATTAAATTTTATTAACAATGCTTATGATATTAATCATCTTTGCAAAGTTGTTCTGAAGGTAACGAATAATTCACTTCTTTGAGTACGTTCCATATGTGCTCTTGATCTCATGAGATTTTTGTGTTGGCTGGAAAAATTCTAAAGTTAGGTCATTACATGAAATTGTCCAATCTATATGGCGTTTCTTGAGGGTTCTTGTGTGTGTGAACAGCACACAATTGATATTTCAGTGCATAAAGCCTTGAAAATCCCGAATCCAGACAATCTACAAACATAATCAAGTTCATGTAGTAAATTCCAATAAGTCATTTTTATTAGAAAATTTAAT